CTTAGGAAGTGTTAGAATGCTCAAAACCCATCATATTTTAAGTCCCCAGAAGGGTCCATAGTCGTGTTTTGATGCGTTTAACTCCCTTCTGAGGGTTTCACATTGATAAACACATAGATTCTCCGTGACACTTGGATTCTTGACATACAAATGCACATTTTTATACATAGAATAACTTTTATCATAGAAGTACTGGTTAAGTTTGACCGGTTTGACTTGTTGACTTTGACTTTGACTTGTTGACTTTGACTTTGACTTGTTGACTTTGATTTTGACTTGAATTTGACGGTTGTCACAACATGAGTCAGCCAGAGGGTTTTGTCAATGCAGAGTACCCTAATAGAGTGTGTAAGCTTGAGAAATCCATTTATGGATTTAAACAAGCATCTCGCAGATGGAATCTTTGTTTCGATGAGAAAGTCAAAGAGTTTGGTTTTTCGAGAAGCGAGGATGAGTCATGTGTATATGTCAAGGCTAGTGGGAGCATAGTTAGCTTTTTGGTGTTGTATGTGGATGACATACTACTCATAGGAAATGATATCCCAACCTTGCAGGAGGTTAAGTCCTGGCTTAGGAAGTGTTTCGCTATGAAGGACCTCGGAGAAGTTGCCTATATTCTTGCGATAAGGATATTGAGAGACAGGAGTAAGAGACTAATTGGACTTAGTCAAAGTACCTACTTGGAAAAGGTGTTGAAAAGATTCAGCATGATGGATTCCAAGAAAGGTGACTTACCGATCTAGAGCAATGCCAAACTGAGTAAAACTCAGAGTCCGAGTACAGAGGCTGAGATAGCTGAGATGATTCGAATACCATATGCTTCCGTAATTGGGTCGATCATGTATGCTATGACTTGTACTCGCCCTGATGTGGCCTTTGCTTTGAGCATGGTCAGCAGATATCAAGGGAATCCTGGTAAGGCTTACTGGACTGTCGTAAAGAACATTCTCAAGTACCTGAGGAGGACTAAGGATTGGGTCCTTACCCTCGGTGGGAGTGATGACTTGAGAGTGGTGGGGTATAGTGACGCCAGCTTTCAGACAGACAGAGATAATTTCCGCTCTCAGTCAGGCTGGGTATTTACCTTGAATGAAGGAGCAATAACTTGGAAAAGTTCCAAGCAGGAGACAGTAGTTGATTCAACGTGCGAATCAGAGTACATAGCAGCAAGCGAGGCGACGAAGGAGGCGATATGGCTGAAGAACTTCATAAGAGACCTTGGAGTTGTACCAACTATAAAGGAGCCTATGGAGATTTTCCGTGACAGCGAAAGTGCAGTTGCCTTAGCCAAGGAACCAAGGGATCATGGCAGATTCAGGAACATCGACAGAAAATATCACTTCATAAGACATCGAATAGAAGAAAGACTCCTCGTAGCAAAGAGGGTATAGTCAGAGGAGAACCCAGCAGATCCCCTCACGAAGGGACTGAGTAGGGTTAAGCACTTACAGCATGCGAGGCGCATCGGGCTGAAGAACGATATTAGTTTTAATGATTAGATAGTTTTGAAACTTGTAATAGTTGAAATGTAATTGACATTTGATGATTAAATAAAAGGTGTTTTTTATTTATAAGTAATGTTACTATCTTGTGTCAATCATTTACTATTATTTCACTTTGCATGTTTTGACTTCCAGAATAATTATATTATTCAAACTATCCACAGTCGATCATACTTTGGAAGTAGGTATTGAGGCAAGACTATCATGAATTTGGCTTGTAGATTGTCTGAATTGTATTAGACATAACAAAGGTTTGCTACAACATTCATGAGTGCTCATAAGGTTTGAGTATTGGATTAAACCCACACTCACTTGTATCACTTCATGAAATTTATCTCGAGTGATTGTGAGACGATAATATCATATAAGTCTTCAAACCAAGAGATATGAGTTGTTGACTATGAGTTGGTTGTACATTGATAGTACGAAACCGCTTCAGTAACTTGATGCTATAAAACGTGTTGTTGTGTACAATTTAACGAGTAGTTAGTACAAGCATATGAGTCGAAGTTTATCTATTTCTTTTAGTCCTTGGAGGATTAAAAGCGATATCTTGGGCCCCTCGATGATTTTGTTTTGACTTATGTGTCTGGCCCGGTCAGAACTCAGTTGATGTGTTTAATTAAGTTCTATGTCAAACAAATCGGAAATCGGGAAACAAATTGTTGACAATAAGTATGACGTTGTTCCTTGTATTTGTCCAGCTGATATCTTGAGAACAGAGGATTATATGATCACTTATCTAAAATGGCACGTCATAGATCGACAAAGGCTTTTAAGAGCTACGATTGCTAGTCGGATCCTGAAGTCATACTTGCAGCTATAGTTATTAGACTTATCCAAGTTAGAGACTGTTGGATAAGGTGTCTAAGTCCATAACTATATTTGGTATGTACTTTACCCGAGAGTAGGATGGTCCATTTGGGTTGCATGGCACCAGAACAATCTGAAGGATGGACATTTGAGAAAAGGTTATTTATTATTTGTTAATATATTATAAGTTCTAATATATTAATATGAAATCATATTATTTAATTAGCATTGATCAAGAATTAATTTGGAATTAATTTTGTGATCAAAAGAGACTAATATAATATATGGGGATTGGTTGTGTATTTCAATGATTCTTATAATGTGGGCCAATGATCCATTGTTCTTTAAGTTGGGCTAAACCAATGTCACAATCCACGGATGGTCCATAGAGGTTTAAACCAATGGAGCATAAGGAATATGGAAGGTCGTGCACATTAAGGTTTACATGGTGTAACCCTAGTTTTGCCACACGATATAAGAACCCCCTTGGCTCCTAAAATCGGCACCTAAGTAGTCTTTGGAAGAGCTATAGCCGAATTTGGTGCCAGAATATTCCCTCTCAAGTCGTCCATTGTTGGTGGTGTTGTGTGAAGCATTTGAGGCATCACATTTGGGGTAATAGGCTCTTAAAGGTCCAAGGAATCAAGCTACAAGGAAAGGTATGCCATCTAACTAGTTTTTATTATACAAGTACCCATGTTTGTATGCTAGGTAGGGTAATGCTTTGGAACATCAAATTGCATGTATAATTAGAGAAAACATAGATCCAAAGCATTTAGGATTGTATGTGCACCCTAAGGTTGTTAGGATGCTCAAAACCCATCAGTTAGACCGAGGGTTTTCAAACCACCATAGCCACTACAGGTGGTGACAAGGTTGTAGAACTCGTTATTCGGTACTCGTTCGGCTGACTGCCGAGTAGCGAGTACTCAAATTTTTAATTCATGTAGAAATATTTTTAGGGAAATTATATATGTCAAAATCATAAGTTTATTGAAATATATAACAAATTTAGATACATGTGAATACACAAAAACTAAAATACACACGATAATCTCACTTCGTGAATAATTACTGAAAATTATATTATATTATAATATATATATATATATATATATATATATATATATATATATATATATATATATATATATATATATATACAATAGGGTTGGAGACAGCCCTATAGTAGTGGTGGTGACTGAGTGATGGTGGTGGCGTTGTCCAAAATATGTTATCTTCCAAATATTTAAAATAAATTAGGAGAGATGGGGTGAGTGAGAATTTTTGGTACTTTTATTTAAAACAATAAAGAAAGCAATTAAAAGAAAATAAAAAATAATTAAAAAATAATATTTATTATAAATATAAATAAAAAAATTTACAGTAATAATCCAATAAAAAAATTAACACAATAAAAAAAATTAAAAATTAATTAAATGAAATTAATAAACCGATAAAGTAATAGATAAATATTATATGTTAAAAATAATATTTATTAATATATAATAATCCAATAAAAAAGAAGTAATCAAATAAAGAAGAAATTTAAAAAACAATTAAAAAAATTAACAATTAATAAAGTGATATTTATTAATATATAAACATAATATTTTAAAAATAATATTTACTAATTTATATTAATCCAATAAAAAAATAATACAAGTTAAAAAAAGAATTAATTAAAAGAATTAAAATACAATAATTCAATAAAATGAAAAAGGAAATTGCATAATTGATCCTTGTAGTTTGGGAAAAAGATAAAACTGCAGAAATAGTCCCTGGGGTTAAATCCGTCATTTGCCAAAACTTAACAACCAAGCCGTTAAATTTAACGAGGTAGTAGGGATGGAAATTTCACCCGACCCGGTGGGGAACCCGGTTGACCCGCCCCACTCGGGGACGGATATTCCCTGCCAAAACGGGTACCGGGTACGGGGCCGGGGATCCCCAATTCCCCATTACGCTAAAATCGGGGATGGGGTCGGGGCCGAGTATAACAATCCCCAACACGCCCCGCCCCTGCTTTGATGACTATGTGTGTGTGTGTGTGTGTGTGTGTGTGTGTATATATATATATATATATATATATATATATATATATATATATATATATATATATATATATACTAGCCGTTTACCCGCGCTAAGCGCCGAGCGGCAAAGAGTATCTTTCGGAAGATAGTTTTAATGTGATGATTAGTTTCCTGTAGACGTGAGCTATTCATTGCGGCCATTTGGTAGACTATTTTGTGTCGAATAGTTCATTTCAACAAATAGTTTCTTGCTAGGTGCATAGTCATACAATACGACAAAAGTTGAGTCTACATCTCAAATAATTCATCTAATAGTTCATACTTGATTTTACAATATATAAATAACAACAATCTACAACCATGTAGTTTTGTACATTTATAACATGTCCAATATATAAACTACACCAATCTGCAATCATGTTGCTTCATCTGCTAGCCCTGCATTAAACATCAAATAAGCATATAAGATACATATTTGAAAAAATTGTAAAATAATAAGTTGTTGATTGTACCTTGTTAATCATATAACACTTCTTTGTACACAACGTTTGATGTGTAGATTCCATCATTATCAAACGTTTTTTCCGGCTTTACTAATACTTTGGTATTGAAACGTGATATTCCTCTGGACAACGCCACATAAAGATGGTCATGTGAGACCACAGGCACGAATATTGGCCAACAAAGCTTTGTACAAAAATGTCTTTCCAGTTCCACCGGGACCATCTATGAAGAACACACCCGAAATATTTTGATCCACATGCCTCATTATCTCATCATATGCAAACTTCTGGTCTGGATAGAGAGAGTCTCGCGCATGTAAGTCTTCATATTCCACATTTATAGAGTATTCTTCTTGCACCTCACGATAGCCTCTTAATTGTAAATCGATGTGTGCACTGACATTTGGAATGTTGTAATCACTAAGCTTTTTAATCATAGATTCTAGGAAGACTCTAATGTCGATGAGGACCATATTTTGCACTCGTTCGACACATCCATATTGTTTCCTATAATCTTCAGAAAGAGAATCATAGTGGTCGTCCCATAACTTGCGAACATTTCCTGGTTCACAAAAAATCAGCATCGTCGCAAATAACCTTCTAAGTGCGCTGGGAAATTGAAATAAGGAAGCCTCTACAAGACATTGTGATAAATTATCATCGGTCTCTATTAAACCTCTTTCAAGAGCTGCTTTTCGAAATGTAGGGTGTAATACACCATTGGCTGTGTATAAATCTTCAAAACAGGTAGGCCCAGTAATATGACATAAAAGCAGGCGTAGGTAGTATCTCTCTCCTTCAGCTGGATTAGCATAAACAAGTCGACCAATCATTGATTTATGTTCCCTGGTCCTCCAACAATGGTTGCTCCGATTCCATGTAAAATGTTTGGGAAAATCCTTATACAAATATTTTCTCGCATTGGAATCTTCTTTATTCTTCTTGAAAAATGCCGTCAACATTGAATGTTTTTCTTTCTCCCTATCAACAATGTCTTCCATTCTGTCACCGTCTTTGAACCTAACCAACTGTTGATTCGGGAGATGTATTTGCAAGGCCATCACACAAGGGTGGATTTTTGAAAGAGGAAAGATAAAAACTCGCCATAATGCCTCAGGAGGGGACACATAACGTGCGTCTTGAAACTTTCGTATCTCATTAATAACAACATTTTCTTGGTCTTTATCAATATGGATAACTTGTTTGTCATGGCCCTTATAAACATATTTGAAGAAGTACTTCACAGAATTTATACTCAAACAAACCTCAACGTTGATATGACAATTAAACATCATTAACAACTTTGGGTTGTATGGAGCCACCCATCTGTTATCCAATGTTGTATTTCTTACAGTCACCTCAATTCCATTATTTCTCCTATAATATAATGGATATGAGTCCTCTCCCTGTGATGTCTTTTCATTGAATTGCATAGGATATCTGAAACGACATATTTTTGGCACACCCTACATACATGGACTTTTTTCTCGTAAGCTACCACAAGGACCGTGAATCATGTGACTTTTGACAAGATCATGCATTTCAGGAAACCTTATTGGGTCGGGAATTTCCGCACACACAAGTTTGTCATAATCGTCTGGATTATTCATCTTATATCCAGGTGTCATTATTAAGAGGAAATGTGCATGTGGCAATCCACGCTTTTGAAACTCTATCACATACACATCTGACCCTACCACACCTATTATATGTCTCTGGAATAACTGTACCTTGAGATCCTCTAACTTAGCATGAAAAACTCTTGCAACAAGGTCCGATCGATCTTGAGCTGACTGTCCAGGCAATAACTCATCATCGATTTCTTTCCATTTTGGGTTGCACGTCATTGTAAGAAACATATCAGGCCTCCCATCATCTTGAACTAAAGCCATGGCATCCAGAAATCTTCGACGCATGTCACGTGGACCTCCAATGAAACTTGCAGGTAACACAACTCTCTGTCCAACCCTACTTGGTTGAGCCTCACCGGCATTGAAGCAATCAACAACGCCCTGGTATAAATCGGCTCTAATTTTAGTTTGGTTCTTTTCAACAAAAACCAAACGTGTAGTCTCAATCTTTATATAGGTATCTACTGCAAATTGCTGGAACAATCTCCCTCCCATCAAAATCATATTATCATTCGACCGTATCTGGAACTTGTAACAATAGTACTCCCGCATACTTATAGTATTTCTGCCTTTTTTTGAAGTAGATCCTGTGATATCATAATTTATGTGAAAAATATAAATTTAATATCCAAATATTTAAGGCAATATATGTTACATGTTTTAAATATGTAAAAGAATGTTAAAGGCATACCTTCTGAACCTTCATCATTGTCTTCATTGTCACTATGAATTTCATCCATGGCGACCCCATATCTTGGTATTTTAGGATGCCATCCAGACTCACCATTGGGAAAGAATAAAGGTTACGACAAAGGATCATAACAACCAAAGTGAGGTTGAATTTCAGTAATATAGTTAGACCTCCCATAGACAATAATACTTCTTTTATATGCAGTGATGTTGTCATTTCCTTCAACCCAAATACCAACAACCTATGCAAAGGTGTAGTTCAATATGGTGATTAATATGATATGTATAATAATAAATATGACATTTAATTTTAAAATGAATAAAGATAAATGTTAATATTCACACCTCAGATGTGGTCGGCTTATTGTACACCCTTTGGTCAAGTTCCACTGATGCATTCAAAGTCACTCTATAATTATCAAGCGTTCCTAGATCAGAAAGCCGTTTAAATGTTCTAACGTACGGATTCGAAGCTTGAATACGTGTTAGTTTTTGGATGATTCTTCTATCAACATTCTTCCAGGAGGATCTATGTGATATTTCAGTTTCACCGTCATAAAAATACAACTGTAAATACCTCGATTTTCCATCCCTTGAAATTAACTAATCGATATTATGATAGAGTGTTCCGTGCGCACAAAAAGTGTAAACTCCAGAAGTCATATTGGCCAATTCTTCATCCACCTTTACAACCAGTGATGCGAAAGAAAAGTTTGAGTTATACGCCCTTATATTGTACCTGAAACTTCTTCTAACTGCTATTGCCTTGTGAAGAGTTGGTTCAATTCTGTGGGAATAGGGGAATATGCCAGTTTTGTCTTCCCACTCATGCAACAAAAGGTAGGTAATTCATATTGTAGTCGCTTTGCCCCACAATAAACACAAGGGTTTTGAGCCTTTAATATACGATGTTCTGTGACAACCCGGAACTTTTATCTCGCGCATTTAGTCAATTCGATCGAAGTTAAACATGTTTTGTTGACTTCGGGCACTGTTTGAGGGTTCATTTAAGTGTTTTAAGCTTAAGTACAGCTGGGAACGAGAGTAGGAATGAGCCAACAAGTCGTATAGAGGCTAAAACCGGGCCATACACCCTCTTGGGAGGTGTGTACGGCCGTACACATGGGTGTGCGGCCGCACACCCACCCTCCAGCCGCACACTCACCCTCATAGATATAAGGGGACCCCTTCACTCATTCCTTTCCTTTTGGCTACACTCTACTTTCTCTCACTACTTTCTCTCTCTAAAAACTTCGTCCAAGAACACTCAAAAATCCTCAAAAAACGTGAACTACTTCATCATTCAACTTGTTATAGTGGTAAGACACCTGAATCTAAGCCTAAAACTCATAGTGTTCTTCGTGTTCTTCATCCTTTGAAGGTGTACGGCCGCACACCTTCATAAGGTGGCCGCACACACCTTAAAGCTCTCCAAAGTGAAGAGTTTGGCCTTCATTCACTAGTAGGACTTGGTATTAGCACAAGAACACCTCAAAATCGACATTTCGGGCACAAATGAGGAGTGTACGGCCGCACACACCCTCTGTACGGCCGCACACACAGCCTGGCAGCACACCCTGGCCGCACACCCACTCAAATGGCCGTACACCTCCCTTGTTTGATTATATAGGGTCCCGACAAGCATTTCCGAGCCTTTAGGGTGGTTTCCCGTCATGTTTAGTCATGAAACACTCTAATTCTAATACGTATATGTGTCATCACATGTTAATAGGATCCACTTGCATACGAAACACCGGCTAGCACTCAGCATTCGTAACCAATCATTCACCCAGATCCTACGTCAAACAGTGAGTTCATACCCCTACGCTTTTTCCGAGTTTTTCATGTTTTCAGGGGGGGGAATACAAGCAAAGGTACAAGGAAATTTGTACTCAAGTATATTATTTTGTTTAAAATAATTATATGTTCAGTATGCTTTTAACTCAGAAAACCGTTTTACCAATCGATTAAGAAATCAACTCGTAGAAACAGTTTCAAATCTAAAGCAAGGAACTTGTGAATCTTGTCATAAAATGTGATATTTTACAAAAGGATTCATTCAAAACGTAAAACAGGATTTTCTATATTATTACTTGTAAATTTGTTAGGCTAAGTTTTGAGACTTGTCCTTGGTAACACTCCCTCGGATTCGTGAGTGGAGGACTACGACTTATAACCAAAATCTCTTGGAGGGAGAGCGTGACTATTGTGTATAGATCTATATGGGACTGACTATCCCGCACCCTCGCTGCTAGCTACAGCGGAACCGTTAGGTTCAGGGGTGACAAAGTCATAGAAGATATTGGCCCCCGTTTCGTGCCTTATCCAGTCTAAGTACGGTTATGGCACTCACAACTTAGGTAACGAGAATTTACTTTTGTAATAATGAAACGAGTGAACTAACCTCAAAGTAATATCCGATTTGATTACTAAAGGGCATCCGTAACGCCCTTAGGTCTTAGTTCACTTCCTATTTTATTAGTTTTTATTTATGTAATACGGCTAATATACTCCTCTGGGTGTGACCAGAGTTTCGATAATACGGCTAATATACTCCTCTGGGTGTGACCAGAGTTTCGAAAAGAAAACTGTTGTCCGAGTATGGTAGATACTCGCGTATGGATAATCAATTATCAACCTTTAAGGGAAAATATAGGATTTTCCCGGGATAACCCGGCTATTCAAAAATCAAATTGTTCAACATGTAATTAATAGATATTCATATTCCCTCCACGACACCTAGGATTGTACATCTATGGTACGAATCTGGAAGTCATGGAAGGAATGGGTTTTAAACACGATTTTTATAAGAAAATATAGGATTTTCTTAAGGAACGCTTTCAAAAAGGATCAAAGAACATCTTTCCTTCAAAACTAAATGTTTATGAACTCACCAGCTTTATGCTGATATTCTTCAAAACTGCTTGTATTCTCAGGGAATTAGTAGACAGGTACTTCCAGGAGCTCGGAGAAGTCAAAGTGTTAGAGTTGCGTCTTTCTATTTTGTTTTTGATATGAACAAAACTATGTATTAAAACAAGGTAAACCTTTTTCATGTATGTATTCAATGTCTAGTTGTGTTTACTATGCTTGCTATGATACAATTGTTGTGATACTACGCATGACGTCCTACGCCCCGGAACGTTTCCGCCATTACGGTTCCGAGGTGTGACATGTTCCATACGGATATTTTCATAAACAAAATCATATGGATCCTCCTGAAAGGCGTATACTCTTCTTTTTGTCATCATAGTTCGTTCCTTTCTTCGTTGATAATATTCTTTATTATAAGTACTCGTCTTCTGAGCAGCACTTATAACACTCACAGAGGAATTTTCGTTGATATTTGTTTCGTTTGTCTTCATTGTAGGGCAACTTGTGAGTGTTGTAGGTTGACTACATCCTTCACCGTTAGCTATCATTCTCATTTTTTTTCTCCTTTTTTCGTGCATTATAGTTTCTATTGTATCTTTTTCGATTTTATACAAATATATTATTTTGATAAATAGTCATATATTATAAATGCAATTATATACTTATATAAACGACATACCTTTTTCTATATCTATCGGGTTTTGGGAATCATCAAAGTTTTCGTTTCCCTTATCTACGGTCCTCATTGAACACTATAATGGAAATGTTAAGAATAAGCACATATTATATCATCAAGAATGTAACATTTTGTAATGTAGACCATGTGATTTAGTAGTCATGTATGTGTGTGTTTTAGAAAGCAACACAACCCTTAATAAATAACCAACTATACTAAAAACTTGTAATCCAAAAACACAACAGAAAAATAAACCACACTTGAAAATTTCCATAGATATCCAAAAATTATTATTTATCAATTCATAAGTCAACACAAGAAAAATAAACCACACATGAAAAAATTCACCACAATATGTCTAACATTAATGTAGATCAACTATAAAAGCAACGCACTCATAAAAGTTGTCAAAACTTTAAAAAAAAAACACCACCAAATGTCTCACACGGAATTAAAAATTCTTATAGGCATATTTATGATGTTAAATGCTTCCGGCATCCTCGATTGGAACTCTACGTTGCTTAGTTTGGTTGATATCAAAATGTTCACTGAAAATAAGATAAAAACTATTAAAATGTATTGATTTAGTTATTTTAATATCACTACAAATATTATTATTTTCTAGAAAAAACTTACTTGAATCCAAATGAACCAATTTCACCCAAGAAACAAATATTATATACTCTCTTTATCGCATAGACAGTCTTCACAATCTGACGGCGTGTTTGGTCGGTTATATATAGTTTCATCTTTATTATACTCCCCCTATTTATAATCAAATATTTCCAAAGTCACATAATTTTGTTTTAGTGTAATAATAATAATAATAATAATAATAATAATAATAATAATAATAATAATAATAAACACTTACGGCCCATCTTGGAGATATAAAGTGAACGAAGTTAATGTCAGTACACCAGAGTAACGGGAATAGTTTCGCTTCCCTTTGATGATTTTTCCAACAATATCTAAAAATAGGGATAATTAAAAGGACAACTTGTTATTATTTTAAAAACTTTAGAATGCTAAAAATATATATAACTTATTAAATTTACCAATCATCATTTTTCTCTCTGTCCGATCCTCTACTAAACTTTTTATTGAGGGAACCAATGGAAAAACCGGAAACCATGATATGATAGCATCGGCCAAACGATTAAACCGTGTGTTATTGCTGATCTTAATCATCAAATCGCCACATAATAAACTGTATTCTTGATACCTCGGATACTCAGCATAGGTTGGTTCGATTTGGAAATGGTTTAAAGAAAACACACCACCCAATAGATTCCCTCCATAAATAAAACGCATCATTTGTTGTGGAACAACTGCTAACAATTTCTCTCTCTAATAGAAAATGTAATATTTTTATAAACAAAATACGTATGATAAATTATGAAAATGAAAATAAGATATAAATAGGTTTTTAACATACATTTTGATCAATGAGAACCATGAAGAGTTTGTTTGCTCTTGAGTCCCTCCAAATGAAATCCA